TGGTAAAAAGCTTCAAGAAATGATCACATCAAACACTTAGGAGAGATTGTCCAAATTATAAGGAGGTATAGGATGAGAATAAACCTCCTTAAGTGCACCTCGACATTGCCTCTAGAAAATTTCTAGGCTACATGGTCAACTAGAAAGGCATGAGGCCAACCCTAAACAGATATAGGCTTTAGTGGAGATGAGATTACCTTAAAAATCCAAGCGGTGAGCGGCGCAAGTGGCAATCCTGAATCGTATCGTCTCAAAAGCTACCAACAACTGTATTCCCTTCTTCAAAGTCTTGAAAGAAGGAAAGATGTTTCAATGGATGGAGGAATGTATTCCTGGAGGTAAAGAAGCACCTCGACAAGGCACCCTACTTTCTAAGCTAACGGTTTATCCAAGTGTCCAAAAACCTTACATACAAACGTAAGTGTAATCGAGATTTGTTGGTCATGCTGCCCAACCGAAAACCGAGGTCAACGCTATTAAATAAAGTCCTCTATTTCTTTCGAAAATTAAAAAAATGGAGTATAAACTGCAAATACGAAGCTAAATGAACAAAGTTAAAAATATGATACAGTCATAGTAGATTATTCAGCCCCTCTTTGGTATTTTTGTAATTTATTGATCTCGTCGCTTTCGACAAACTGATTAGGGTATACATCAAGAGTAATGCTATATAGCACCAGACATTATATTATAAGTTCAATTAAATGTAAAGATTTAGAGCTCATTTAATAGGACATATCTTGTGCTGTCATATAAAACTGATGTTGAACACCACTAATTCTAATGGTATTATTCATTCGTAAAACCACTCTTAAAAGAGATGACCCAGTTTGTCAGTTGGTGCATTGAACAATAGTACTTGAATGCTGATTATATATCTTCAAACATAAGAAAGGAGATTGATATCTTGCAAACCAAGAATTATAGTTTGAATGTTTCAATATACACATCATTAAATCCTGACAAAATGGAATAGAATCAGTTTATGAAAGTTATTAAACATCGGCTGGCTGAAACCATAACGTGTTTACTTTACCTAGATGATCTATATAGTCTCTCTTTATCGCATGTAAAATCTTCACAAAAGAAATAAATTTAAGATACACACTTGTTCTTAAAACAATTTTGTTTCCTCTAGCTTTCAAGGTCTCAAGTAATTGTATTTAAAAATAGAACGAACTTTCATTCTTACGGAAACAACACATCAATCTCACGAAAACTAACGGAAAGACATTTTACCTTCATTGCTAAACTTTGACACTTGATTCAAATTTTTTACAAAAATCCTATTGATAAGAAGTGTGCCTATTTGGCCAATATTACTCTTATGATGTGGTACGTACCACACATGCAATCCAAAACATAGACTAGTATTTTTTATTTAATTATGTTGTTTGTTAATAAGGGTTGTTTTGTACTTTGCCAGAAGCTTATGGACTAAAAGTAAAATTTCACTTGGGCTTGCTTTTGGTCTTATTTATTGCGGTCCCTTTTGTTAGATTAAAAAATAAATAGAATTAGAGTTCTTTTCCTAAATTCTCGTCAAGTGTCAATCAATTGCAAATTAACTTTCTATATTCGCAAGTATCCTCATAATAACGTATTTTCGGGCATGTTCTTTGTTCCTGTACTTTGTATTACTATGCTTTTAGTATTATTAGTTTTATCGTTTAATTGGTACTAAAGGTGGACACGATTCGACTTGGACAATTTATAATAAATTTTTAAACCAAATAACTAAAAGAAAATGAAATTTATTGAATTGAGAGATTAGTAAATAACGATTATATGGTTTATTTGCTATAGAGTTCGAAGTTTATATACGAACTTAAACAAACTTCTTGTGAATAGTATCTCAAGTTCAATATTACAATAACTTCCATCGGTTTTATGAAAAATATTATTGATCGGTGTATATGCATGAAGTTAATGGGAACAAGTTCATTTATTTTTTTAACGACATTATGCTTGATGCTAATGATTTTGGTTTGTTACATGAAATCAAATATTTTCTCTCGGATAACTTTGAAATAAAGGACATAAGAGATGCAACTTGTATGACAGGAATTGAAATATTTCGAGATAGATCATAAGAATTGTAATGTTTGTCTCGAAAGGCATGATGTATAAATAAACTTTTAGAGAATTTGGATAATTGTTCAGAGAGTGTAGTTCTAATTCAGAAGGGAGATAAATTCAACCTTGTGCATCTATTGTTGAAAGTTTAATGTATGCCCAAACTTATAAATTTTTGTTGTCCGAACGCAGGACAAGTATCAAAGATATCCAAGATTACATCGGTAGACCATAAAAATAGAAATTATTTTTTAATGCCAACAATAAAATTTTACCAGAATTTTGGCAAGTTTTGCCTCTTTTTTGGGGGGTTTTGGGTGTGTTATGGGTACCTTTTCTGTTTGAAAGAAGAATAAAGAAGTTTTCGATAGATTTCTGATTGGAAAGGGCACTTCAATTGAAGAATGCTAAGATTTTCAAGAGTGCGGCCCTAATTTTTGCCTTGATTAGGAGCACTTTTTCATCCTTTGGCATTTTAATCCTTTGATTTCCAACATTTTTTATATTGTGCAAATGGTCCTTTTTATCGACGATTTTATGGACTTTTTATAGTGTCAATAAAGCATACTAGCACCAGGCTTATGGTAGTTGTAGCTAATTAATTAACAATTAAGGGTCTGTTTGATTCTCATTATTGTAGAATGAGAATGAAAAATATAATCCTTAATTGACCCCACACAAGAGATAGAAATTCAAAATTGATGGTTTGATGTGATGAATAACGGTCATATTTTTCATTTTTATGGATGAAAAATGAGAAACAAACTGAGGCTAAGTAAAAGTGAACAATTAATTCTAAAACATTTCATAATCTTTTATCAAAATCTACTAAAAATCTGATTTTAACCTCCAGGACTTGATAACATGTAATGATGAGTGTTATTGGACGTCATTATTGATAACTCGAGGTATATCAATATAAAAAATTATTTACGCCACAATGTGAGCATTATGTTTTATTTATTAACTGTGTATCAATGAAGTGCCATGTGAGCCAAGTGGGAGAATAAGATTAATATGGCACAAATTATTTTAAATTAAGCCCATATAATTCAAGGATGGGTACCTCTCAAAATAAATAAATAAAATGAGTCTTAAAAGAAGACTTTTCACATTCTATAAATGCAGAATACAGTACCTCTCTTAAATTAGGATTAAGAGAGAGAAAATCAGATTTCTACTCAAATCTACTTCCTTCGACAAGTGTTTCTACATCAGCCAATTTCTCTATTTCACTGATCTTCAAGTGCTTTGTTAAGAAGTTACGAGGGAATCACTGGGTAAAGCCAAGTCTCTCTATCCCTCTAATAATATAAAATTTGTTTTGATTTCTAAGGTTTTGAAATTACAGGTCATTGGCATCGTTGCCACAAACCCAACGAGTTCAAATTGAAGATAGACTACCCCAAATTTTATGGGCAAAATGAAATGTTGGACTGGATAGAAGAACAAGTCGAGCTTGTTACATACAAAACATAAGGAGGAACGTCTGTTAGCAGGAATGGCGACAACTTAACCATCGACGTCAAAGGAAACAAGTAGTCAAAATTTCTACCTTGACAACTGCTTTACAGGACAACAACAACTTAACCATCCACGTCAAAGGAAACAAGTAATCAAAATTTCTTCCTTAACAACTGCTTTACAGGCCATATCAAATGATTATACCGAAGAAATTTACCCATCAATTGCCAAAATAACTTGACAAAATTTCTCATTACATTGAAGGATTAAAATTGGCAATCCAAGGCAAGAGTACACTATAGATGTGATCCTATTGTTTATTTCAGTGAAAAAACGCAAGACTTTCATCAACTCTATATGATCATATGCTGCTATTTAACATGCCCAGCCAAGTTGTCAGTGACTCCAAAGAAGTCCTCTACCAGAGAAACTCTATCCTTCAAGTAGTCTCTCAATTATCTTTAATGGGAATCTAATATGAATTATCATAGGGGCAATTATTTAGCCAAATTTTCCCAGTGATGGCATTAAAGATCACACTCAGTCAACCAATAAAACAAAGGCACAGTAAAGGGAATAGACACAAATTGAAGGCTAAGCCCTGAAATATAAACTCTGGGAAGACTGAAGATGCATAGCAAACTCTTTGGCTTGTACCTCAATAGCATGTCATAAACAAGAAACTGCTTAAATTGTGCTAACTCATGCCAGCATTGGCCACCTAAACATTTCCTTGCCAATTGCTTCCCCAACGTTAGCTAGAAATCAACGACAACTGCCTACACCAATATCTGTTTAAGAACCATCATGTGCAACATCTCTTTACTTTCCAAACTAATAATCCACACAAGCTGTTCCTACGTAGTTGGATTCAGCCAAAACAACCATACGGATTGTTTGGATATGATCTATGTCCGAAGGATGACATCATCCCTCTATGTATGAGAGGCCTTCGCCCATATTGCATTGCCATTGCTGGCCTCAATGCACGCTGAGCCTTGCACTCATGCCGTGCACCTGAATGTAGCATACACGACATGCTTGCAAATCGTTGCCTGCATATTATGGGCAATGCATTGTCATTCGAATTTCACCTGAAACACTAACCAACTTTGCCTGTTTTAGTTTGCATTCAATGCAACCATCAGAAGCACACCCCAGCCAATGCATTGGCAAAGGACAAGGCAGTGATCATGCCATAGTAGCTGCTCGTTTCAAGTGCTCAACACTTATCCAGTAACAAGTCAAAACACTATAACAAAACTAAGAGACCGGTAATAATAATGAAACAAAAATCAAATGGTGAACAAAAAGAAAGCTAAACTAACATCGTATCACTTCCTATTCAAAATATTGATACAAACCGAAAGCAGTAACAATATGCATTCAGCGAGAATCGAAGAAATGAAGAACCCATTGCCCCAAACCTGAAGTCCTTCAGCCCTAGCAGCTATGTACAACTACTCAGCAGAATTCGACACAATTTTAGCATTGCCAGATTGAATATTCGCCTTTGTAAGTTGTCTCAAAAATCTTCTACTTCGTGCTACTCGAATTGGTCTCCCCATAAACTCCTGCAAGACCACAACTTCTTAGACAGAGCTTTTAACAACCTTATCAAATCATCTATCCCACACCTATAAATTTAATCTAAACAGTTAAAATGAAAACCAAAAAGCAAAATTGAAGAATACCTTCCCTTGAAAAGCCAGAAGTGCTGACTCCGCCTCCACCTTGGTGTTGAAGGAAACAAAGCCGTACCCAGCCGACCGCCTTGGATTATCAATGAAGATAATTTCAGCAGAAACAACATTTCCATTATCAGCATTAAAGAAATCCTTGAGGTCCTTGGCCCTAGCTTGAAATGGCAAATTCGCAACAAAAAGATTATGTACAGGCATTGGCTTCGGTGTTGGTGGCGTAGAAGGGTTACTCTTCTTTGGCTTAGCCCAATTAAGCTTCAAAACTCTACCCTCAAATTCCTGTTGGTTTATATAACACGAAAACAAAATCAGCTTCTCAATTATGAATACCTCAAAGGAATTTTGTGGAATTTCTAGAAATTTACAATGCTTACATAAGATTCGAGATGGGTAATAACAGCCAAAGCTTCTTCATGTGAACCCATTGTTACAAAAGCTAGGCCCCTGTTTCTGGTCTTGTCATACATTGAAAGCTTAATCCAACACACAAAGAAAAACAAAAAGAGATCATCAGCTACTGGAAAAAAAGAAATTCTAGTATTAAAGGAATTCACTGAGAATTAGCACATACAAACCTCAATCTCAACAACGGTACCATACTGCTCAAACAGAGGACGAAGGTCATCAGCAGTGCAAGTCCATGGAACATTCTGCGCGAGCAATCTTGTATTAGAAACATCAACAACTCGTACCATTTCCGATTCTTGCTCTTCTGGGGTAAATTCTTGAACAATGGGATGGGCTTGAGCTGAAGAGGCCAAGTGAAACAGATAAAAATTGGGTCTTTTGGAATGTATAGTTTGTGAGAGAAGATGGGATGTGGAGAGTGAGAGAAGAGAAGTGCTGTTAGGATGACGTGCCTGTGAGGGGCATAAAAATTGATGGGTATAACTGTAAGAGAGGTGAAGAACGGTGGAAGGGAAATATATAACACGAAACGGTGCTGCCATTCCTATTGTTGTTCGATTTCAGTATTCAAATAAATGGATTGAGCTCACTGCTCCTTGCTCATCGTCATGCAGGGCTCTGATGGAGGAGGAAGAGAGAAGGGCAACGAAATGGGAATTGGATAAGGCACAGTTTTATCTTCTCTATCTAAAACCTAGGGCTTATTTGGGTGCATAAAAATTGGATTGACCAGCACAAGTAGGAAGTTCATGGGTGCATAAAAATTGGATTGACCAGCACAAGTAGGAAGTTCAAACCAGCCTATTCAAAAGTATATATATTCGAATTTAAGAGTGTGTTTTTATATCTTGGTCCCGAGGTTTGATTTCATTTTTCGTCCATTTTATTCAGTTTTAAATGACGCGCTTTGACGATGCCAAGGCGTGGCAAAAACGTCACACATGCAATCAACGCCTAGACTCATATAGGAGCATCTTGTCAAGCATTATTATTTTGTTTTTAATTTTTTTAAGTGGAAATGGTAAGAAATGTCCACTTTCCTCTGGTCACTTGCAAAAATGACAACTTTCAAAAATTCTTACAAAAATGACCATTTTAGTATATTTTAAACCAAAATACCCATGGTCAACAATTTATGATTCCATTCAAGGACAATAAAATTGACATTTTTGCAAAAAAAATATTGGCTGATGAAATCTTGACACATAACCTGCTCCATTTATTGTAAATGATAAGATGTCAAATCACAATTAATGTTATTTTTTGCATTGACACAGAAATGTCGAGAACGACATTTCAAGTGTAGAGAAATGTCATGTTTGAAATGAAATGTCCTTCTAGACATTTAATATGTCGAGAATGACGTTTTGAAATGTCGAGGACATTTAATATTGTGATTTGACGTGTGTATTGTTGAAATATAAAACAAGATTCAAATGTCGAGAATACGTAGAGATTCAAATGTCCTTTTTTTTTTTATTAAGAGCATAATAGACAGTTTCGTATTAAATTTGAAAATTGGACACTTTTCAACTCTCCCCCTTAATTGTAGACATTCGTGAAAATATCCCTTTTTTTAAACTACATAAAGACCAATTGGATTGACAAGCCCAAAAATTAATAATTATAAAATTTTCAACCTTTAGACCAATAGATTAAAATGCATAAAAAGTTATTTATCTACTTACTGGTCAATTAATTTATAGAAGGCATCTCCAAGAATTTTATTGTAAACTTTCGATATGTGATAAGAATCCCTTTGGTTTATCAGTAGTACATTGTATCTTTGTTTTAGTTGTAATGTATTGTACATTTGATTTGGCGTAATGTATTGTACATTTGGTTTGAATGTAGTGTATTGTATCATTGTATAAATAGTTATTTATATTTTATTAAGTTAATTAATCATTTTCCTATCTTTTACTAATTAATAAAAAATAAGCTCTCCAAATATTTTAATTAGCGCTGTTATAATATATTTTATTTATTGTATTTATTTTGTTAAACTCTTAAAACTGCATTTGATACTATAATTTGTATGTATTATTAAATAATTTTTAATTGATTAAAATTTTAAAATATTATTAAAATAAGAAAACATTTTTTACGTTTGCATCGATCGAAGCTTGGCCTCCACACTTTTTAAATAATTTTTAATTGATTAAAATTTTAAAATATTATTAAAATAAGAAAACATTTTTTACGTTTGCATCAATCGAAGCTTGGCCTCCACACTTCACCACACATTACACTTTTTAGAACACTAATTTTATTATAGACCACTTTTCTTATTGAAGTATAGACATTTTTTTAGTTTTTAATATGTCCCTATTTAATCTACATTGTTATCAATAAATATAAATTAATTCTATTTAAACCACTATTTAATGTATGAGTATATCAAGAAAAATGTAAGAACAATTTTTATTTTCAACTATATAAATTATATTTTCTTAATCTGTGTGAAAATATCAACAAATCTATCTTTATATATCGGATGTGTGTGCGTGTTGTGTGTGTGTGGTGTGGGGGGTTATAAAATTGATAATACCTTTAGATCCTACCATAGGCTAAGTCGAAGAATTTTTCAAAGAATAATTCCTTAAGTACAAGAAATGTTGACAGATTGTGTAGAATTTTGAATTGAAAAAATCATGTGCATGTATCTGTGTTTTTCCTCCTCTATGTTTGAATCTAGTCCATCAATTTCAATTTCTATTTGTATTCTGTGAAATTTCCATGTACTCATAGCATAGTTCTTTCCCAATTATGTGAACTAAATCAGCCCATAGACATCCTAATATTGTAGGCTAGTCGAGCTCTTGGCAAGATAAAAACTTCTCATTATTGTCGTCTCAAGAAAACCTTAATTATGGTTCTTTGAAACACTCATAAATTTAAAGAACTATAATTAAGGTTCCCTTACTATATCAACAATGTGAATTTTTTATCATACTCACTTGGAACAGAAGATCAATTTTAATGGATTCATAAGTTATATTTATATCTTTCTTATTTTTTGAAAAAAAAAGTAATAAATCGAGCTAATTAGGGTCACATGTTATATTTACCAAATGGAATTTACTGGTAATAGACTAATATATATATATATATAAATCAAGTTGATTGGACCGGTATTTAGGGGTAAGATTGTCAATTGATTGAATTTTAATTCGAATACAATTCAAATCCCATGAAATTAATACAGGGTGAATTTAGGGTCTCGGTCCGATAACCCAATCAAGATCTAAATTCGATAATCCATTCACTAAATGAATTAAGGTAAAAATTCATAAATGCAAGTTGAAGTATAATCCATTTCAAAATTAAGATAAATGTTTAAAATTTCAAAAATTAGATATTTATTAAATTTTATTTATGAAATAATTAATTAAAAATATATTTTATAAATTAAATTTAAGATCACAATTTTTTACATTTGATCATAAATTATCAAATTAATTGATTACAAATAATTTCAGTCACAATTAAAAATTTATTTGGTCACAGATTATGTCACGATTACTAATTTATCAAAGTAATAATCACATATTATTTATTGCTCACAAATCAATAATTTTATTAGTCAAAACTTATTTCATGATCACAAAATATCAAATTAATTGGCTACAAATTATGTTTAGGCCACAAATTATCAAATTATTACTCACAAATTGACAAATTTTTAAATCAAACATTATTTATTGGTCACAATTTATCTATTTCATTGGTTACAAATAATCAAAACCTCACCACTACCACCAGTCGCATCGTCACCGAACTACCACTACCTTCTCCGACGGCAAAACCATCATCTTAACACCGCACCCATTAGGGGTGGACGTGGTTCCATTGATTCTGGTTCCAAGAGAATCGAACTGAACCATAAACGAATTGTGTTTTTTATAAAGGAACCAAATAGTTTTTTTTTAAATGCGGAACTGAACTGAATCGAACCGAACCATTTGGTTCTGGTTTGATTTGGTATGGCTCTAGTACTATTACTTAAATTTTCAGACTTGCATCATATCCATAAGTTACTAATATATACTTAAATAAAAAAATATAAGTATCAAACATTTAGCAAGTTCAAATTATCAATAATAGAGATCATAAAAGTCCAAACTAACAAACAAAATATAAACGAATGAGTCATTGCGAAAAGTTAATAATATCGAGTTCCATTATCATCCTCTGTTCAATCAATTCCTTTACATGAAGCTGTTAGACCTACATGAGAAAAATGAAATATGAAAATGAAATATAAAGTTAAAACTCGAAACTAATAAGCAGGAGTGGTGACAAAATGACCAAGCCAAGCAACTTAGCCCCTAGCCCCTTACCATCAGATAATCATTAAATGTTTAATACTCTATTACTTGTGTTGTAACTTTGAGAAATTCTACAAACATAATTCAAAATGCACAATTTAAACAAACAAACAAAAATTAAAACAATTTACAATTAATAAGATGTAACGTAATAATATTTTATAAAATAAATTTTACCAAATTCAATTTCTTCATAGAACTTAGTCTCCTCAATGCAAAATCAAATTCATACAAAAAATAAAACTATAAATTAAGCTTGGTTCTTGGTTCTAGAATCAGAACCGAACCAAAACTATAACCAAATGATTTTTTGTTTGAAAAATCAAAACTATTAAATTTTTTGTAGAATCGGATCAAACCGCTTAGTTTGGTTCGATTCTGATTTGGTTTTGACATTTTGTCCACCTTTGCCAACTATCACCACCACCAGCCTAACACTCCACAACTACAACTCACACCAAAAAAACTCTCCTCATTTGCCATTAGACACAATATCAAATAATCATTCACAAACACCCCACACTACCCCCACCCACCCACCCACAACCATGCCATCGCAACACCACCACCACTGTCGCCATCACCGCATCAACACCACCACAAAATACATCATTGCCGCAACCCACACCCACAATCGACTGCTTTAACAACCACCTCCACCTTCATATGCAACTCTAATCAACCACCAAATCACCACTACCACTGTCTGCTAGAATCCACCATCTCATACAACATTACCACACCACAACCACCACCCCACCAACAAAACCCCCAAACCCTCAACAATCACCAACAAAAAGCACACCAGAACTTTGGTAAAGTAGCAAATCAGAGAAAACCACCACAAAATATCGTGGGAGTTGTGGCATAGTCAGGGCCGGTCCTGTGATTTTCGGGGCCCGAGGCGAACTCCCAAAATTGGGCCCCCCCGAATCAACGTAAATACAAAATCCAACAGTGTATTATGCAACGTATTGCTAACTTAACACTGAACAATAGAACAATATAT